GACAAGTGTATGAGAATGTATGCAAGGATGGTAGTGATCTATGTTGTACCAGCCAACTTCTACTTTTCTCACAAGTCTTAGTTAAGGGAGTGATTTGCACTTCAGCCCTAGTTGTTGCATCATGAGATAGATAGATAGATAGATAGATAGATAGATAGATAGATAGATAGATAGATTGATAGATAATTTCTCATGGTGCAACAACTAGAAATATATGTATATGTATATGCGCGCGCACACATGCAAATGAAAGCAAAGGGCAACTGGAATCTTGCTAATGCAGTTTTTAAATTTAAAATAGTTATTTTAACAGACACAGTTATGAATGTAAAAGAAGCAATGGCAATTGAGTAGTAATGTAGTTCATGCTGGGTATTTTTTTTAAAAAAGGAGGAAGAAACTGAGAAGGCCACCTAGAACTGAAATTGGGAATTGTGGCCAAACATCCTTTTCTATATTTTATTATTATTTGAGTATAACAGTATAGCTCTAATTATACATAACTCAGCCACCCACACTTCTGGATTATCTGAATTCTCTCAGTAGCCCCGTAACCATTTTGAAATGGAGCACTCGGCAGCAATATAAAGTTGCGCCAGAAGAACCAAATTGCCAGGAGATGCAGCTTGCAATTTTAGGATGCTCCAATTCAAGCTGACTGCAGTGAATGACAACAAACGAAAGCCAATGGTCTCAGCAAAGGCAAATGTGCCCTCAGCTCGAGATGATAAGGAAAGGCGGTACTGCAAGACTCCAGACTCCAGGAGTGGCTTGCAGGGTTCATGGTCCCCCTGCCCAAGCTGGTCAAGTATAAGAGGATGATGATGATGATGAAGAAGAAGAAGATGAAAACTTTCTTAGTCTACCAAGCCATTAGCTCACCTTTCTGAAGTGGCTCCCTTCATGCCTGCATATTTTAAGCCTACATCAAACAATCACCAGTGTGACTCCTTTTTCCTCCTGTAGGGCTCCTCTGAAACTGATTGATAATGCATGGTTTGGGTGAGATAAACAACGAGAAGCTATAGAAATCATTGACTACAAACCTTGAAATTTTGAGTCCCTTCCAAACTGGTGCCAAGGTTTTGTAGTTGTTTTCTACGGCTTGGTAGCACGAACCCTGCATTTTATAAATACGCTTAATATTTGAATATGCAAATTTTGCATTTAATTTGTAAAGCAACTGGGTTGTTATTGTTTTTATTTTGATCATGTTCTGTGTTTTTATATCGTGATTTTATCCTGTGAACCGCTATGACCCTCGGTATAGGGCTGTATACAAATTTAATAAATAATAATAAATAATAATGTTGTAGGGGCCCCCAAACTGATACTCAAATAGGGGGGTGTCATAGGTATCACCCAGAAATCCAACACTGCACAACATTTTGTAGTCGTTTTGTATGGTTTCTAGGATGGGCTATGGATGCTTGAAGATGTGCTGAGGGGTCTTAGTTTACATATATAGGTAACAAGAGTAGACTTCTGTTATTTTCTCTTTTCTGTAATAGTTGACTCCTGGGAACCTGTCTGGCTTTGTTGATCTGTTTCTTCCTTTTCCCAAGTGAGTACTGTAACTTTAAGAATATCTGATGTAAGCCCTGAAAGGAAACTGTCTCAAGGACTGGAAGATATTTATTTATTTATTTCAATTTTTTATAACCTTCCTTCATCCAAGGATCCCAGGGTGGTGTATAGCAAACATTTTAAAATTTCAGTAAGTAATATATAAACCCTCCCCACAAAGCCCATAAATCATATCCAACTGTCAAATCAAATGGCAGTAGGGACCAAAAAAATAAAAATAAAATTACATCTCCCCAAAGACCTTGAGAAATTATATGCAATTACAAATGCAATTATGTCATAGGGGTTTGCTGCATACAGTGGATTGTGCAATTCTGTACACTTTGGGAGAATGGTAGAGCAAACGTGTGTAGCGGTCAGTAGTTTCTATAACTGTATAAAGTGATTCCCCGCCCTTGCATTATAAACATACACACAAACAAGTGGCAGAAGTCATATTCCAAATAATGTTCTAATGTACACTGAATATTCTCATCTAAATCATCATACATTAAAATAAACTTTAATGTAGTGAAAATACATAATTATGAGGCAATATTTATATGATAACCACATAGTCATACTCTGGCATGCAGAATGTGAACATGCTTCTTAGAGGGATATGGGTTTCAGTTAGTGGTAAATGAAGCCTTGGCAGAATTTTCTGAAAGTGGCATGTTGTTGCTATGTGGAGACGGCCGACAGGTGAAAAAAGAATTCAAGCTAACCCTTGTGAAAGATTTTCTCATTAACCTGCTAAACAGGACTCTCTTTATTTTATTTGGCACCCTAGTATTACTTTTGTGAATCAAAATATTACTTTTTATTTATTTTTATTTATTTATTTTTATTTATTTATTTATATTTATTTATTTTTATTTATTTTTGTGAATCAAAATATTACCTAGTATTACTTTTGTGATACTCAGTCCTTTTGAGACCCTTACAGTTTGTTAAAAAGCTGTTTGGGAACCTTAGTGTTTTCTGTCAAGCTCTATTATGCCGACACACCAGTGTAGTGTAATGGTAGAGTATTGGACTAGGAACTTTGGAGAACAGAGTTCAAATTATGACTCAGCCAAAAAGTTCGCCTTGAGCCAATCGTTGTCTCTCAGCCTAACCTACCTCAGAGGTAGGCCAAACCCTACGCCAAAGGATAAGTGGACATAAATCTGATATCAGGAATCACAAGACAGAGAAACCAGTAGGAGAACACTTCAATCTCCCAGGACATTCTATACAAGATCTCAAAGTAGCTGTCTTATTACAAAAGAATTTCAAAAATAGACTGGAAAGAGAAGTTGCTGAATTGCAGCTTATTACCAAACTTAAAATCATGGAGAGACCTGGTCTGAATAGAGACACTGGATTCTTATCTCATTATACATGATAAAGCTATTTTTAGCCATCTCATCCCTTGCTTTTTCCTGTAAGACCAATTGCAGTCGTTAACAGTCGTCAACAAGTTTACCACACCCATTCCCACCACCCTTCTGAGAAAAACCCCACCCCACCCTCCCACTATATATGCCTGGTGACTTCTGTTTCAGTGTATCTGAAGAAGTGTGCATGCACGAATGCTCATCCCAAGAACAAACTTTGTTGGTCTCTAAGGTGCTACTGGAAGGATTTTTTTTATTTTGTTTCGACTACCTCAGAGAGTTGTTGTGAGCATAATATGGGGGCGGCGGGGGGGGGGGGGAGAACCACCTTGGGTTCCTATATAGGATTAAGACCTATAGAGGCTCTAAGTACTGAATACTAAACCAGAAAATAAAATGTTAAAATAAAACAGATTTATTGTAGCACACGATTAAGATCACATTATATTGATCCAGGTTAGGAGGACAGCCCTTGGTTTGGGTGAGATAAGTACCGTAATACAAAAGAGTACAGAAAAATTGAGAGACTCTGACAAAGGTCTTATTTTCCCCACGATGACTACTTGGTTGCTTTCTTTGAAATATCAAATGTCAAATCATTTTTTTAAAATCTTTTTTGTGTGTGTGTGTGTGCCCCCGCTTCGCCAGTGCCTGAAGCGCTGGCTTAGCCTGCCCAGTGAGTAACGCAGCACTGTCCTTGACAGAAAAGAAAGAGGCATAGAAATGCCAGTTCATTTCCAGGCCCAATTCAGGGTGCTCATGTTGGTGCTGAAAGAAAAGTTTGGATTTGATATTCCGCTTTATCACTACCTGAAGGAGTCTCAAAGTGACTAACATTCTCCTTTCCCTTCCTCCCCCACGACAAACACGCTGTGAGGTGAGTGGGCTGAGAGACTTCAGAGAAGTGTGACTGGCCCAAGGTCACCCAGCAGCTGCATGTGGAGGAGCAGAGACGCGAACCCGGTTCACCAGATTACGAGTCTACAGCTTGTAACCACTACACCACACTGGCTCTCCAAAATAGCTCAGGTAAACTATTTTGCTGGAAAGTCCAAAATAGCTCAGGCCACAAATATCTGACACACTGCCTCCTTCTCTATGGACTCTGGGTGATGGCTTTGGCAGCTCAGTGGGAGATGGCCTTCTCCATGGTAAAGCCTAAGCCTTGGGACTCCATCCTGGCGCCTTCATTGCACAGCTGCCGCCTCTTCCCCCTGGACTTCAACACTTGAGGTGCACGCTTTGAGGGCCTGCCTTGCTTTCCTGGTTGTTTTTAATTGTTCTCAGTATTGCTCTTAAGGCTGTAACCTGCCCTGGGGCTTTAGAGTGAAGGGTGGGCAATAAGTAAGCCAAAAAACACACAACCCCAAATAAAAAAAGCTTGAGGTCTGTAAAGATCAAGAACCTGAAGGGGGCATATCCACCCACATCCTTCAGCCCTGGACCTTCTGGTGATTCCCTTGTTGCAAGAAGCTAAGTTACAGGGAACCGGGCAGAGGACCTTCTTGGCAGTGGCACCTGCCTTGTGGAAAGCGTCAAGGAGATAAACAACTGACTCTTATATGACATCTGAAGGTAGCTCTGTATTGGGAATTTTTTTAATGTTGGATATTTTACTGTATGTGGTGTTTTACTTTGTTAAAAGCCACCCAGGACTTTTGTTAGGGGAGGGGGCAGAACCTCGGATTTTTATTGATTTTTTTTTGGGGGGGGAGGAAGCTGCCCCCTGCCCCCCTTGGCTACGCCCATGGGGGCAACCCAGTCAGATGGGTGGCATATAAATATAACAACCACCACCATTTATGATAAATCAAGAAAACGGGAAACTGGTGGTGCAAACAAAAGTGGGTGGGGGGGAGAAAGAAACGATTTTCTCGTTGAGTTTGGGATTTTATCTAATGCAACTTTTTGCCTAGCCTGCCGTTGACACATCCGGCCCGGCAGGTGTCAGTATAGCCTGTGAATCGCCGCGCTCGGGGCTGGGCAGGAAGCTTCTCCTTCCCCTCCCCCTCTCCGGCGCCCGCGCGCGTGCTCGCGCCCGGCCGCACGCCCCCGTCTCCCTTCCTTCCCCGTCTCCCCCGTTCTTTGCCTGCTGTCACTAAGAGCCAGACTAGCTGCAGACAGGCAGCAGCCAGAGGAGGGGGGAGGAGGAGGAGGAGGGGAAAGGAGGAGGAGGAGGAGGAGGAGGAGGAGAGACTGGGAATGAGTTGGAAGCAGACGCAGCCTCAGCGCGCAGATCTGCCCTGCCGGAGACAGACAGAGCGGGGAGGAGGCAGGATAAAAAGGACCTCTCCTGCTCTGCATAAGGAAAGCCCCCCTCCCGGCGACTCAGGGGCGAGATGTAGGGCTTGCAGGAAAGGTGAGTGTGCGCGGACAACCTGCCGGGCTCTCCCGTCCTTGGCTGGGCAAGCGGAGATGCCGCCGCCGCCGCCGCCGCGCGCGCAGGGAAAGGGGGAGTCCCCGCGCTTGGAGGAGTTCCTCCAGCACCACCTAGACAGCCAGAAAGTGTCTGACAAAGTGAGGAGAGGCCCAAGTTGAAGGTCTGCGGCTCTTAAAGGGACACGGGCACTCTTCTCGGGGGTTGCCCCAGAACAGAAGGTGCTTCGCTTCTCTCGCTCTCTCCCTCTCCTTTGTGTCTTTGGCAGCAAGGCAAAGTGCGTGCAGGAGCGGCGAGTGTGTTGGCTGGATGCATGTACCGCACGCCTCATGTGAACAGAAGCACACACGTTAGATGGGGACTGCCCGCACACGCACACAGCCGAGACGTTGGGGTTGTTAATATGGCACGCGCGCACGCACACACATCCATATCCGGACTGCACATTCCAGTGGGTCCTTTCCCGGATTGGCGTAATATCCATCCAGGAGGAAGGAGGCATCTGTCTTGCCGGAGCTGAAATGAAAGTAGCAAACTGGGAACGAAATTCTATCAGGGCTTCCCTCCCATCCGTTGGTATTCCTCTTACCTTGTCAGCCAGGGGTTTGGTTACAAGCTGTGACATGTAGTTAACCACCCTGGCATCACTTCTTTCTTTCTTTCTTTCTTTCTTTCTTTCTTTCTTTCTTTCTTTCTTTTTTCTTTTAAAATCAAGTGATTCTTTTTGTCTTCCCTGACAGGGCTTTTTGGATGGTTGTCTGTGCATTAAGGTTTCACCTAGGTACTGTACATTGTTTTGTTGGGGAATCTTCCCAGCTGAGGATAAAGCTGGAAAGTGGTTCATATGCATTTCCTGATTTGCGCCTGTGGTTTTGAAGGAGCTGCTTTGGAAATCTAGATACAGTTTAAGCTGGTGCCGCAACGTCTCATGTCACTGCAAAGCAAAGCTTTTTATTGCGGGACCACTTAATATCTATGAAACGTAATAGAGAGATGAGGCAGGTTGAGGAATAGTTTTAAAGCTAATTCTTGGAAACATTTTTTAAACTGTGCATGTTGTTGTTGTTGGGAATGGTTAATTTTGCACGTCAGACAGTAAAAATCTGGATGCATCAAATAGTTCTGTGGTCCAGAGATGTCCCAAGAGATTGTTATAGAAGTGGCTGCCTGCTGTAAACTATCAAAGGAATTATGCATGCAACTTTTTAAAAGAGAGACTCAGAGGATAAGCATCCACTGAGAAGTCTGTACTTAGGGAATGTCAGTACTTGCAGAATTGGCTTGTGCTTTCCCCCACATTTCTTTTATGGCGGGTTCTTACCTTGGCTTTACCTTTTGGTAGAGCATATGCTGATGGGATGAGCTGGGAAAGTGAGTTCTGTTCTTTGGTGTAGATTTTTATGTGTCTAGGTAGATGAATTTCCTATGTCAGTGGAATGATTTTAATGGAGTGTTGTGTGGGGTTATATTAATACCAAAGCCAACAGTCTTATGTGTGTTACTTTCAACTTTTGACCTTTAATTCTTGAAAGTTTTTCAGAGTGCATCTTCCAGTGTGTAAATCAGGGACGGGGGACATGGTATGTTGTTGAACTTTAACTCACACCATCCTTTGCCATTGGCTGTTCTAACTGGGGCTGGTGGGAGATGAGGGACCACAAGTCCCTTGGAGTTAGTGGTGCCCGTGGTGCAATTATTTACTGAGCAATTTCCAGTACAGTTCTATTCATGTCTACTCAAACTCATACATCGCTTAACTGGAGCTTAGTCACAGGTCAGTGGGTATAGGATTGCATCCTTAATGTGGTATGAAAAGGTTCTTCAGGTGTTGTGAAATGTTACTACGGTACTTTAGAATGGGTACTATCACCTTTGCTTGCTTTTAGTGTGTGTTAATATGAATTAATAATTTAATTGCAAGCCTCCTGACAAATAAAGGCATAGAAAGTATCTCAGGCAGTTTTTATATCTGCTGGAAGCTGCCCAGAGTGGCTGCAGCAACCCGAGCAGATGGGCAACCCAAGCAGATGAGTATAAGAATGATAATGTCAAAGAACTAATTTTGCATTTAAGTATCTGACAGTCCTACATATGTTTACTCAGTGGTAAGTCCCACTGTATTAAATGGGACTTACTCCCAGGTAAGGAGCATAGGGTTGCAATCTATAGGGTTACAGTCAACTAAATTCTACTCAAAGTAGACCCATTGAAATTAACAGAACACTAACATTTTTTTATTTTGAATAGTAGTAGCTTTGAGTGCAACCCTAAGAATATGATTACTTGTAACTATAGATTAATGTAGTGAAGAGACAGGCTTTTGGGAGAAGGGTTCTAAATGGGCACGGTTTCAACTTTTTCCTATTTCTGATTGCTAGGATAACATTTCAAAGTGATTATCACAGTACAATCCTATACATGTCTACTCAGAAGTAAGTGAGCCCAGTGGGATTTATTCTCAAGGCAAGTGGTATAGAATTGCAGCCTGTCTATTTAACAGAAGGTTTATATTCCAGTTAGCGCCGTTGCTAATTATATTTGTTTGCAGATGGTACAATTGTTTTGCAGGTACTTGGAAGCGTGTAAACACTGCCGTTACCCTGTTGCTTGAAATACAGTGGACAGTTTATTGGGCAGGACATTATGGGAGACAGCATATATTAAAACTAGTGAATGTCCCTACTTAGTTGCCAGATGAAATAGTGACAAAATGTTCTGCACGTCTATATCTGTACTGGTGTTTTCAGCACAAAGTATTGAGTTACTGACTGTAAGTGTGCCACAAGATTCTGTAGTATCAAAATCTCAACTGCAACGTATCCTATATGCTTGTATATATGAGGACATATCTCTGGATATTTTATGCTTCACAGTGTATTCTGTTGTGACTCCCAGGTCAGTGGATTTGTAGGCATTTCCTTTTTCCCTTTCCCTCTCTGTCTTTGATCAGGTGCTATATGCTTCTGATAATATAGAGTTCAATATAAAGTTGGGGGGGGGGCAGACCTCCAAGGGCAATAACATTGGCATTGATTAGATTTACACTGTGGATAACTTTGCTTTTAGGGGACGTGGGTGGCACTGTGGTCTAAACCACAGAGCCTAGGGCTTGCCGATCAGAAAGTTGGTGGTTCAAACCCCCTTGACGGGGTGAGCTCTCGTTTCTCGGTCCCTGCTCCTGCCAACCTAGCAGTTCGAAAGCATGAAGTTCAAGTAGATAAATAGGTACTGCTCTGGCGGGAAGGTAAACGACGTTTCCGTGCGCTGCTCTGGTTCGTCAGAAGCGGCTTAGTCATACTGGCCACATGACCCGGAAGCTGTACGCTGGCTCCCTCCGCCAATAAAGCGAGATGAGTGGCTCAATCCCAGACTCGTCCTCAACTGGACCTAACGGTCAGGGGTCCCTTTACCTTTCTAACTTTCCTTTTAGCTGTTGACGTCCTTTTCCCGCATTGTGTATTTAGTTGGCAGGTTTGTTTCTTTCCTGAGGGAGGTGGCCTAGCCTGGGTCTGTGTTCAGCTCTCCTGCCCTTTCTCTGCAGGGTCAGGATTTGTGCCTCTGTGAAAACTGAGCTACCAAAACTTTAAAGAGCATGAGATGAAGCGATGTGAAGGCTAGTGCCCGTGCTGCCACAGCTGCCCTGCTGCTCTCTTGCCCTGCTGAGGGAACATGCCCAGAGCATCCCGACCCCAGCCCAGCACTTGCCTTAACTCTCTACAGCAGATCTGCTTGTCAGTTCAAGCCAATATGTGGAATGCAGACACCTTCCCACTGCCTTCTGGATCTTGTTCACCCTTAGAGTTTCAGGGCCAGCATTGTGACAGGGGCTCCATGTCTGCTGAGCGGACAAATTCTATTGTAAGATTTTTCTATCAGAGTCCCATTTCTCAGTCGTCTTCTTTTTGTTTTTCTGCTTTGCCTTTGGAAACTTTGCCCCTTAGCTTCTCCGTCTCATGAGGCTTAGTTTTCCTGTCGTTGGTCTTCTTGCAGATGTCCATTCTAGCTGCTTCCATCTCTAAGGCAGATGTGGACTTTTGATCCCATCCAAACCAACCACTTGATGACTTTCAAAGGAGCTGGCATCTTTATGTCTAGGATAGGCTAGTTTTCTCGATGGCTTTTTTGAGTCATCATAGCAGCTTATCCAGTTGCTGTGTGTTTTCATTACCAAGGCATATTACAGTAATGGTTTTCTAATATTCTCTCTCCAGACTGATTTGTAGTATTCCTGGAAAAGTTAAACTTTTGAGCGCGGTGCTTGGAGGTACTTGAGGTGTGTCTGTGCTTTATCATTTTTTTCCTACCTGATTTTTGTGTGTCCTGGTTCTTTAAAATCTACATTCTGACTTCTGTGTAATTATTATTGGAACTGTGCACCATATGTAGAAGTATATAAAACCATTCGTATGCTGTTGGTGGGTTCTTGTTCTCAGTTAGGATTTCCTAACATTGGTTTTATTTTAGTGTTAATTCAAGATTAAGGAAAATAATTCAATGGGAATATTTGCACTTGACATAACGCATAACCTCTTCTATAGCATTTGCTTCTTGGTGGGTGAGTACTATACTTGAAAGGTCTATGGTTTGGGAGTAGCATCATTCATGTGTGTTATTATCCACAAGGGAGAGAACGCATTTTGAAAGGTTTTCAGGCAATTATTCCAGGCTTGGTCTATATAACTGTTGAATTTGCCTGTGGCACCCAGCCAACATCAGCTGTTTATTAAATGACCTGATGCCAGTGCACTGGTGCATCCACTGTTAAGAATCCAACCTGTCTTGTCTAAAAGTTCTTATATGCATTTCCCCTCCTTTCCCCCAAATAATTGCTGTTTCTAAGAATAGCCTGTTTGCCTTGGAGATTGACCAGGTAACAGATTTCTAACATAGATGCACCTTTTTCTTGTTCGAAATAAACAACACAAGAAAGAACATAATCCTCTGTTCCTGAATTCAAGATCCTTGTAGGTTTTGTGCACTCA